ACAAGGTGAATTATGTTTCATAATAGTCAAAATGCAAGTAGCATAGTAATAATGTTCTTAAATTACACTACAAAAATAAGTGTCAAATTTGCCAAAAATAGGCCTACAGATTATAATTAAGGGATAGTATTTTCCACATTCAGACTCCTACTTACAAGCATGTGGGTAATAAAGTTTTTTGCATAATTATTATGTACGTTTTTCTCTTTATTAAGAAACATACTCTGCCATTCTTTTCGCCAGGGACTGTAATAAACTTACAAACGAAATATAAGATATTTGCTAAAATAATAAAAATTTTAACAATGTTGTTACAATAATGGTATTAATTATAATATTATCATGAGTCAGAGAGAAGATTTTCTAAACGATTACAATCGTTTTGAGCTTTCATTTCTACTTGCATTGTCGCTTCTCCCATATCATAGTCCGGCAGAATGCAACAGTTTACAACAGTACTTGTTCGAATAATATCAGCTCCCACATTTAAATTGGTTTAGGAGTCTGGCACCTGAAATACAGTCAGACCCCCCCCCCCTACAGTCACACCACTTACAGTACACTTCCCTACAATCACAGATTTTGCGGAACGGAATTTTGAACAATAGTAAAATACCCCTAGAGTCACATTACTAATTGTAATCGTTTTTTGATAGTAAATCAGTCACTTCACGTGATGCTCGCAACAGCAACAAAAAAAAAGATCTTCATAAAGAAATCTGTGATTATGCATAAAAGTTTCACTGCCAATTTCTTCAATGATCAATATTCATTTACATTACTGAGTTCTGCACATTAGTGCAGATTAATATGTATACAATATGTCAAAGAGCACAATCACATGACATCATGAGAAATTATATCAAACATTTTAATTAGCTGTGTAACAATTAACGAAAAAATTTTTAACGGTTTTCAACCTTTGTCACACAATCGGCGATAGAGACGCGCAAACGCGCAACAATGTCGAAAACAAGAATACATGAATACTTTGTTCGGGAATCTTCAGATTGGGATGCTGTTGACTTCCTGAACCAGTGCAATGTGGAGCCCTCAAACTTTGAAGAGAAAGTAGACGATTACCTTAAAAGCCTCGAGTTCATATCTAATGACAAGCAGCAGGACAGTAACAGACGGCAGAGAGCAAAATCACTTCTCAACAAATACAGAAAGGCAAGTAAACCATTTTTTTTCTACCAGTGAAAATAACAAGGATTTTTTCGGTTTTGTCATTCAAGGTTTCTAGCTGCCAGTGTTTGGGGCATAGGTGGCTTCCTAGGTCGTCTAATGTTCAAGGCTTCTAACATACCCAGCGCTGGTAACCCACTGGGGCATAGGTGGCTTCCTAGGTCGTCTAATGTTCAAGCCAGCACTGGGGCATAGGTGGCTTCTTAGGTCATCTAATGTTTAAGGTTTTTAACCGACCTGGTGGGCAGGATAATAGATAGACTGGAGAGGTTTTAGCTGAGAATATAAGTATTGCATAATTTTGTGAATTGTCTATGCTAGGGTATTCGACCGGACCGCCAACGTGTAAAGTCATGGCTGCAAGAACAATTGCACAAGAATAGAACTGGTGAAGAAACTGATCGAATCTCGGTACATTTGCACAATCCAACATTCGCTGATGTTGCTAGTGGGATTATCCATGGCGGAACTATCAATGGCGGAACCATTGGAACATTTGGTATTGAACCATCAAAGAAAAGATCTCAAGAGGCATGGGCTCGTTTTTTTTGTTAGAATTGTGCATTGCGATATTTTCCTAATGTTTGACATTTTAGGATAATCAAACTCATCCGAATCCTGCTTCAAATATAAATATAAAACGGATGAAACATGAAACTGGGCTTGATGATTATGATGAAGAGGAAGTAGATGAGGATCTCCAATTTGATCTTGACTCCCTTATCAAGAGCTTAGAAAAAGAGCCAGAATTTGAGGTACCAATACTAACACAGTACCTTTGATTTCTTGTTTATAAAATTATTTACCATTGCTTCTGTGCATAGTGGACAGTCGGTAATGTGAACATTACACAAAGATTTCGTGACTATCAGAAAGAGATCATAAAAATGCTAAAGACAAAGGGACTGACTTGGAAGAATGATTATGAGATTCTGTAAGTTTTGTGATGTTTATAAGTTTAGAATTACACTAGACTCACATACCCATGTTATTTTGTATTGGGTTTAGAGCACTATCATCCATAATTGTGCTGGAGTGAAGCTGTCCTTATCCCACCTTTATGAGCCAAGAGTGGCAAATGATATTAAAGGCAAACCCACATGCAATTCACAAGCCAGTGATACCAGCTCCTGTGTCAGCAACTATCTTGGTTAGAATTTTCTGGCATTCTTTTGAAAACTCTTTCTTCTTGGTAAACTTCATAGGTAATTCTTTCTTTCTCTAAATATGCTTGTAAAGATTTAGTTTCTGTAAGTTTGAAAATGTAAGGTGCAATTTTTTCACCTTGTTCTTTTTTAAAATGCTTCTAATTGTGCTGTAATTCTTTGGTTCCATAGTGGATTGATGTAAATTAGTTTCATATATTTTAATTTTTTATATGGACATATTTCTATATCAATATTAATGTGTTATAATTTTCATTTGCCATAACAATAATGCCTTTTCATTGCTTTTCATACTCAATGGAACCATTAATATACATATATATATACATATAACCCTACATGTAAATTTTATCACTCTAGTGTTGGCATTTATTGATTGAAGATTTAGTCAGGTACAGATTATTTTGGAAAACAGTAAACTGAATGCTATATCAAGCAGACTAGTGCATAGTGTGAGGATCAAGATTTTTGCAATCAAGATTTGCATACATTAACAGTTATTGTGTTTAGTTCAAGAAGTTACATAGTTTGTGTTGAATTAAAACTGGTCAACCAGAAAACAGAATAAGCACAACAATGCCAGAAAACCTATTTAAACATATCTTGTCACCGGCTTTATGCTCTGGCATGCTTGGATCTTTCCATGTAATCCACCTTCAATCACAGCGTGCATCTTACATCTGCCATCTCTCAACAAACCAGTGGACTGGCCCCATTTTCCTTCCATTCAGTGTTGTTTGCTGGAACCCACAACAATTCACGAACGCTTGTGTTGTGGCATCTTCAGAGAGGGTAAGTCTCTTGTCATGGATAAGCTCTAACGTCTATGTATTCCTCCGAGATTTCCGCTCAGTACCACACGGATTCCAAGTTCTGCGGTAAACGATCGACAAGTCCTGCGGCGTAGGTGATACGAGTCCAGATCTTGTACATGGCGGCCGATTTGAACTATATCGTACGAGCGGCAGAATTCGACCATATCGGGCTAACAGACGTTGATAAAATTAGAACATTATCAATTAGTGATGCTTTCCCAATATATCCCAAATTCGCCGCCCAGAGTTAAAGAAATAGTTATTTAAGCGCGCCGTTTTCCTTCATCAATTCATCATCTTCAGCTACAAGTTCATCAGATTGTCATTATTACTTTTATTCCTTTATTATTCGAATATACAAACGGTCCTTAGAATAGTCCTTATTATTCTAATAAAAACTCTGACTGGTGATTTTAAATCATTCGTGCGTCAGTTAAAATCCTGTGGTTCTATTGAATTCATCGATTTAGAGAGTTAGCGAAAACCGCTATCCGGACTCTCTGTTGCGACTTAGTCTTGCCCCTAGGTTCGCATACTATCGGTTTATACAGGATATTTATTTAATTGTCTATAAACGCGTTAGATTAGAAAACCTTTCCCAAACGATAGATTTCCGAAATTAATCCCATCGGATCATAATCGTCGATTTATACTCGAGGTTAAATAAATATCTACGGATTAGCGTATACGATACGATTCATTCGTAAGTATTCAAAGCCTGTTAAAAGGTCACTAACTGTTTAGAAGAATTAGCATTAGTAGGCGTTGCCGATAACGACCGTTGGAAGACGCTAAA